GAAGTTTTTGTGTTTTTCAAATGTAGATTTCTAGCTAATATATAATGTATTCTAAAATAATGTGCTAATCATATCTTTAAAGTATAATCTTATTCTCTTTAAGCTGTAAATTGTTTTCAAGCTGAAGAACAAACTAAAAATATATTGCAGCAATGGTACAATATAGTTCTTAAAAGGACAATTATTCCAGGCTTAATTAAAAGTAATTTATTAGTTTCAGGACATTTTCAAATGATTTCTATAACTACCCGCATATCTGCATATGAAAAAATTTTGAAAATTAAAATTAATAAAAATAGTCTTCAATTAATTATGAGCAGAGATAGATTGAAAAGCCCAGCTATGTTCTCTTGAACGTAACTGTGCCATCATCAATGTTGACATTCATTGGCAAATTTGTAGAATTAAAGTTTCAGAACAGAAATATCAGGGAGAGAATAGTCTTCTCAGTAAGTGATCCTAAGTTAACTAGGTGTCCACATAGAACAAGTATCTAGAATCAACTTCAGGTGGATGGAGTCATAAATGTGATCAATAAAATAATGCAGATTTTGGAAGACAGCATAACAGAATATTTTCATGCCTCTGGGTTAGAAACCAGTACAGAAAAGGAAAAGACTGATTCATTTGTCTTCATACATTTAAATCTGTTCACCTAAGGACAGCATTGGGTGAGAAAAAGGATCAGCCATGGAGTGAGCTCATAGCTAATGGAAGACTTCTTCCACTCTATAAAAGCAAGTGTTGGCAAGGATACAGCACAGAAGTATTCCAGAACATTTCTGATAGGAGTATAAACTGATACAAGTACTTTGAAAACTAGGTGTCATATAAGAAAGATGTAAATAAAATATCCTATGAGATAGAACTTCAGAGTACAGCAAATTAAAGTGATCAATACAACCTCTTACCCAAGAAACAAGTATAAAACTGAACAAAATTGCTTCAAACAATAATTTACGACCCTAGAGATTTACTAATGGTATTCAACAAATGGAATGCTATTTAGTCACGGAAAGTTCTTAAGCTTTGGCAGATGATTAGTAGGAACCTGCAGAATTATTTCTGGTCTGTGTCCTAGTCTATCTGGACAACGCATAGTTTAATCAGGTGATGAAAAAAGATTGTTTTGCTGCCCACTATTTAAAATACTGATAGATTGTATATGGAATATACTGTCTAACTACTGAATGAGTGTTTGTGTATGGAAGAAAGAGACAGAAAGGGAGAGAGAGAGAACCCATAACTTTGACAAATACCCTAAACAAGCCAACTTTCAATGCGTTTTGGTTCACAATTCCAGCAGTTTCAGCCTATGGTGAGTTGGCATCAACATCTGGGGGCCTGTAGCAGACAGAGCAGCATGCGTGGTAGAGCAAAGTGGCTCACCTGATGAGGGCTGGGAGGCAGACTCAACATCCCCTTCAAGGACGTGTCCCCAGTAAGCTAAATTCCTTTCAATATGCCCTACCTCCCAAAGGATCCACTGCCTCCCAATATCGCCGCTGGCTGTAAGCAAGCCTTCAACCCACAACCTTTTGGGGGACATTTAAGATTCAAACAGCAGAGAGTCTCTCTCTCTCTCTCTCTCTCTCTCTCTCTCTCTCTCTTTCACACACACACACACACACATACACACACACACACAAATATGCAATGATGGCAAGAAAAGAAAAGCTAATTTATTTATATTGAAGCGAAGTTGCGCTGTTTTGTTGAAATTAAGTACAGTGGCACCTTGGTTCTCAAACTTAATTCTTTCCGTAATTATGGTCACAAGCCAAACTGGACAAGAATCAAATCAAATTCAATGATTAGCTTCAATGTTGACCTTCTGGGGAAATTTGATTTGGTTCTTATCCAATTTGGTTTGTGACCAGAATCATGGAAAGAGTTAAACCCATGAGTTGAGGGACCACAATACTAATCTGAAGTAGGATAGTAATAGGTAAGATGTATAATGCAGTCACTTGCGTAATTACCAAGAAGTAGTTCATAAAAGTATTAAAAAATCAACATAAGTGACATAAATGAGCATGAAGGACCTTCAAAACTCTCCATAAAAAACATAAATAATCAGTAATAAATACCAAAATCAACTTTTCATAGCTCAGGAAATCAAAGACATAAAACATCTGGGATCATTTATTCAAGAAAAACAGCTAAATCTCCGTAAAGAACACTGAGCTTTCTGACATTTTAGCTTGCCTCTCTACCACCCTCCTCTCTTCAATGTGCTGTGGCCTTGAATATGAACATTCCACAGCACAATGAAACAGGCAGCCCATTACTCACCGGAAGGGCTGGAACTCTCCCAAAATCCCATTCCCAGAAAACTGCTGATAATGGGCTTCTCTACTCAGTAGTTTCCTGGAAGACCCCACTGGCAAGGTTTGTCTTTGCTCAGTGTTACTCAGCTCCTGCCTAGGGAAAACAGTCTTCCTGTAGGAGTCATTTGTTGAAAAGAAAATCCATGCAAATATTTATCATTGTAGTTATCTAATGAAGATTGGGACAAATAAGCTAATACAGACTTTATAAAGAAAAGTTGGATAATAAATTGCTTATGTCTCCAGCAAATTCCTGGTAATCTAGAAGGTCATACAGTGGAACAGGCTCGTTCATGATTATGGTTGTGTGTGTGTTCAGGAAAGACGTAAGCAGGCCTAATATTTCACTTCTGACTGAAGCTGAAGCCCTACAAAGCAGTACACAGAGTCATAAATTGTCATAAATTGGATTAGTACCAGATTCCTCTGCAAAAAGAAATAATGGGGACTAGTAGGGGTGGGGCATTTTAGGAGATCTCTTTCCAGTCAGTACCAACCACTGAGATAGCCAAGCATGTGGCTACACATGATAAAGAACCCAGTATTTACTGAATTAATTCAGAGTAGTTGCTAAACAAACAAACGGTATCACTAAATACTGTGAAATGGGGAGAATCTGATTTCCAGAGTTGCTACATAATGATTTAAAATGTCAAGTTTAAAAAAAAATGGGACATACAAAGAAATAAGAAAGTATATTTTGTTCACACAAAAGGAGCGAGGAATAGAAGCTTTTTGAGAGGGCACAGATATTCAGCTTAAGAGACATGGACTCTGAATTAGCTATTATAAATACATTCAAAGAACTAAAGGAAATCATATCCAAAGAAGCAAAGGAATGTAAAAGATAGCTATTTACAAAATAAAGAAAACTAAAGAGGAGATAGAAATGATTAAAAAGAACTAAGTAGAAATTGTGGAAGTAAAAAGTATAATGACTGAAATGAAAAATTCTCTGAAGGACCTGCACAATAAATCCGAGAAGACAGAAAAAGGAACCAAGGAACTATGAGGCAAAATTAACCTTTTTCCTGTTATTTTGTAGGTGCTGGGTAGTGTCTCAGTGATAAAAAAGTAACTAAGTCAGATTTTGAAGAACTTGTTGATTGGTCATTTGAGATTATCTATGCCAAGAAACAAAAAGAAAACAAAGTGAAGACTGATGAACAGAACTTGTTGGACACCATCCAACATACCGACATATGCTCAATGGAAATCTAAAGAGAATATAGACAGAAAGAAAAGGACAAAAAAGTATTTGAAGAAATAATGACTAAAACTTTCTAAATTCAATGGGCAATATTAATCAACACATCCAAAAGAAAGGCCCACATATAAAAAGTAAGATAAATCCAAAGAGATCCGTATCTATACATATCATAGCCAAATTCCTGAAATATAAGAAAATAACCTTGTGTCTGCCTGGCAAGCTCAAGGTTTTGTGTTTGATTCCCAGTGCAAAAAAAAAAAAAAAAGTAAAGAATCTTGAAAACAGCAAAAGTTGACCTACTATGTTCAAAGAGCCCTCTATAAAATTAACATCTAATTTCTCATTAGAACCATATAGGCTAGAAATATGTTGAAGAAAAAAATACTACCAAGCAAAAATTTTATACCTAGTAAAACTATCCCTCCAAAGACATTGCCAAATTATAAACAGAGCACCCATTACAAGTGATTTAACCAACAAGGAATTTGTCCTTGTTGAAATAAAAGTGACACTAGATAGTAATTTGAATCTGTATGCAGAAACATTGATTAAGGTAACTGCACAAGACAATATAGAGGCCAGTGTAAAAGTATCCTGTGTTTACACCTCTTTCCCTCTCTAATCTTATATAAAAGACAATAGTACAATTGAATAATTATAAGTTTGTATTGATATAACATACAATGTGTAATTGAAGTGTGCTAACACAAATGGCAGGAAATGGAGCCATTATGAGCAAAGATTTTTACACTGCTGTATTTAATTTCATATTTAATCTCAAATAGATTAATGTAAATTGAATTAAGGCAATAAAATGAACCAATCTTTAATTAGGTGACCAAGAAAAAGACTCAGTTACTGAAATCAGGAAAAATGGTGTTAATAATTCACTCGAGAATGATTTCATAGTTGAAAAGAGGGAACGTGACTGTTAATCTTTCCAGGAATAACAATCACTTAAAAACACAATACAAACCATTGTAAATTGCATGACATGGATGAAATGGGAAAATTCTCAGAAAGACACTAACTTTTAACACTGTTACGGTTGATATCTGTATGCGCCCCCACAGCCTCATGTGCTCATGGACGAGGCTTTCAGGGAGTGATCTGGTGGTGGAGGTTTTGTCCACTGATAAGTTTAGAACTAAAAGTGATCAGGAGGGGGATCCTGGATGGAGGAGGCGGCTGGCGGGGTGTGACCTCAGGAGCGTATCCCCCTCCCCGCTCCCTTCACCTCTCTGCCTCCAGCTGCCCCCGCCATCAGCTGCTTTTCTTCTGCTGGGTCCCTCTCCCTCCCATGCCACCTGCCTTGGAGCCAGTCAACTGTAGACTGAAACTCTACAAACTGTGAGCTGTAACAAACCTCTCCCCTTTTATTTTGTGGGTGCCGGGTGTCTCCGTGATGAAAAGTAATTAAGACAATGTTGGCGCCAGAGAAGTGGGGTTGCTCTGACTACCTAGTATGTGGTTCAGATTTTCAGGCTGGAGTCCAGCTACCAGTGCGGTCTTTGTTCCCAGCTGGAACCTCTTGAGCCTGGTCGTTGTGGGCTGCATTTCTATCAGCATTCTGGTCTTCGAGCCTCCTCCAACCAGACTCACCCATCAGGTTTGGCTTACAGCATCCCAGAGGTGTTTCTCTAGCTGGCATTTCCAAACCTTTCCAAGCTCCTCCCCAAAACCAGTTCCGAAGGCTTCTGAACCATGTAGCTCCTGTCCTGAGACATGGGTGGCACGGCCACTGTTGGGGCTTTTAACCAACTGTACCTTGAGAATCAAGAGCCAGTGCCACAGCTGAATGATTTAGAAGGTTTTTAGTTTTGAATTCAGCCAGAGAGGAAGTTTTTATAACGTTGGGGCCTGTAAAGATGAAGCAGAGAACTTGGTTACTGAAAAAGGTTAGCTTAGAAAGAAACTGAGTACTATGAACAGGACAATACAAACAGTGGCTGGAGGGTGCGGACTCAGTCAGTTCCTGTGGTCTGAATGTGACCCATCCTCCTAAAGCTGTGCAGTTCAACCCCAAAGTCACATGCTAAGGACATTAAGGGGGGCATTTAATCCACTACAGCGTTACAGGTGGAAATTTAAGAAGTGATTAGATTAGATGAGTAGATCCCCAGAGTGGAGTGCCAGGAACGGAAGTAAACACAGAGTTACAGACACACACTCCCACTGTCATATTAACTGCCCCAGGATCTCTCTCACCAAAATTCACATCGTGCTGTGTAGACCTTTTTATCTTAAGAACGTTAAGCCAAAATAAACCTCATTTCTTTATAAAGTAACCTGCCTCGGGTGTCCAATCATGCTAACAAAAAGATGATTGATGTTAAGACAGTCTGGTGTGGGTGTAGGGACAGAGATGCAGAAATAAATGCTCAAATTTGTGATTTTTTTTACAATGTTTTCAATGTAACACAGTGAGGAAAATATTTTTTCAACAATCTTTCCTGATATTTAGAATCCATCACACACACGCACACACACACACACACACACACATTGACTTCAATCCTATCCTATAACTGACCTACATAAATTAACTCATAATGTATCATAGACAAAAATATAGACCCTAAAAGTAACACTTCTAGAACAAAGTAAAACAAGAACTCTCTGGGATCCTGAGTTAGGGAAACACTTTTTAGATGATACCAAAAGCACCATTTATAAATAAAAACTTGATACACTTAAATTTATCAAAATTTGAAACTTTGGCTCTCCATAAGATACCCTCAACAGCTGGGCTTAATGGTGCATCCCTGCAATCCCAGAACTTGGGAAGCTGAGGCAGGAGGATTGCTGTAACTTTGAGACCAGCCTGGGCTTCATAGCAAGACTCTGTCTCAAAAATAAATAAATAAACCTGCTATGAGCAAAATGAAAACAGAAAAGCCCTAGACTGAATGAAAATGCTTACAAAGTCTATCCTACAAAGGACTTGAACCTAAAATTTATGATGTTTAGTTAAAAAGTAAAAAAGATAAAACAAGTTGTTGTTTTTTTAAAGTGCAGAAGTTCTGAACAGCACCTCACCAAAGAAGCTGACAAATCAACCTTTGAAGTAATATTCCACATTACCAGCTGTTGTGGTTTAAATGTAAGCTCCACCCCCTAAAAGTTCCTTGTGTTTGAAAATGATTGGGTCAGGGATTGGGGTTTCACCATCACATCACATCTATTGATTAGTTCAGGGTCTGAACATACTGTCAGGAGAAGAGGCCTGGCTAACGGCAGGTCACCGGGGACTGGACCTGGAGGTATCTTCTCATCCCTGGTCCCTCCTTTCCTCCTCTGCTTCCTGATCACCGTGGACCGAGCAGCTGTCCTCCACTGGTCCTCTGACCATGCCATTTTCACCTTGGAGTCAGCAGATTATGGCCTGAACCCGCTGGAAATGGTGAGGCAAATAAACTCTCCGCCTTTAAACTGCAGTCCTTAGGGAAACGCAGTTTAAAGTCTCAGATAGGCTGAGACTTTATTATGCTGCTGTTAGAGTAACTGAAATAAAACCCTGGCAGTACTAAGTGCTGTGGGAGCATAGAACACTCAAATCTCTTCCATGTCATTGGTTGGAAAACAAAATGGTCAGCCTTGTCTCTGGGCATGGTGGCACATGCCTGTAATCACAGCACTCGGGAGGCTGAGGCAGAAGGATCATTCCAAGTTTTGAGACCAGCCCGGGCTACAAAGCGAGCTCAAGGCCAGCCTGAACTGCATAGAGAGACCCAGTCTCAGAAAGACCAAAACAAAATGCTAAAGCCTTCTTAGAAAACAGTTTGACAGTGTGTTCTAAAGATAAATTTACATTTGTCGCGTGTTCCTGCAATCCCACTGTTAGGTGTTTACTCTTGAGAAATGAAAACATGGGTTCACAAACTCTGTATGCATTTTTACAGCCGCTTTATCTATAACCACTGAAAACTGGAAACAACTAACACATCTTTCTGCCAAAGAATGGGTGAAAAAGTTGTAATAGATTGAATAAAACACCACCCAGGAACAAAAAGAAAGCAGCTACATATAACACACAACCAAATAGGTAATAAATGCAATTTACAAAAAAGAAAAATGCAAGGACTAGGAAGTCATGGGTCACACTACTCCGTGCTATGGTTTGAGTGTAATGTGCTCCTCAAAGGTTCATGAGTTAAAAGCTTGGTCCGCAGGTGTCACTATTAAGAGGTACTGAAGGCTTCAGGAAGGTGAGGCCAGGTGCCTTAAGTTCTCTCTCTGTCTCTCTCTCTCCCTCCCCTTTCCTCCTCTTCCCCTTCTATCCCCTTCTGCCTCCCTCCCCTTCCTTCCCTTCTCTTCCCTTCCTGGCTTGATGTTAACTCTTGCTGAGATGTGCTATTCTCACCAGAGACCCAAACCAACAGGGCCACCTGATACTGGATTTGAACTCCAGAACCAGGACCCCAAACTATCCTCTCTACTTCGCAAGGACTCTGTCAGGCATTTCACTGCGGGAGCACAAAGCTAACTATGTGGAGAGAAAATAAATCAGAAGTTTTAGAGGTTTGGTAGGGGACAGGACTACAGAAGGGTCCAACAGAATGCAATGTCATAAACAGCAGAACTGTTCTTTTTTTTTTTTTTTAACAAAGCCAAAAAAGACTAAAAACAATGGTACAGAATTCCAAATCAACATAATGATTAACAATGGTTACTATATTGTGTATTGTTATCTTCAAAGTAGGTTCTCAGATTACAAGTTATAGACATAAAAATGATTGAACAGGGAAAGCACAAACTATTATTTTGATGAACTAACAGAAATTGATAGCATGATTATCTACATAGATAGATACATAGATAGACAGGTATGTAATCATTTTCCCTTTTTTATTTTCTCCTTTCCCTTATCCTAGTTGTTCTTTTCTTTTGAATAGTTTTTCCCCTTTCACAAAATCTATTGTACATTTTGGATCTTATTTACTCTTTCAGTTTTTACACTAAGGAGACAATACGATGTTTACACATGCGAGTCTGATTTATTTCACTAATGTGTACAGTCAAGTCAGCAGAACCATCCTAAGTCATGATGTGGGAGTGGATACAAGGCTGTATCCATTCAACAAAACCCATAAAACTCTACACCACAGTGAATTTTATTGAATGTAAATTAAAAAGACATGAAGCATAATATGCAGAAAACCCGAAATAAAACAAATCATAGTATGAACTTAATTACAAGTGAATCAAATAACCACACGGAAGGGGAAGGGAAAAAGGAACCAGCCAGAGCTACATTGGGAAGCAGCATTTGAAGTATATGCTATCAGGGTAAAGACAAAATCTGTAAAATTAGCAATTCTGTTGCTGCTTTATATGCAAGCTAGGATAGAAGAAATTAGTAAACACATTTTAATTAAGGACAGCCAGGTCTCTCACTATTGATAAAAGATACTACACATCAGCAAAGGGGAATTAGAATCAACTCTGTGCTATGACTGGGGTCAGGAGTTTCCATATGAATTTAAGATTTTTAAGTAAATGTAGATGTATGTGTAAGTGTGACTGCCTCCGGTAGTGCAGATCAATAACTTCCCCCAAAAGGCTCACGTTTTCAGAAGTGGGGTTTGGAAGTGGGATACTTCATGGAGGCCTCATCCCATCAATGGATTCGTCCACTGAGTTAAAAGCCAAGTGCACTTTTAGCTGGGGATTTAGCTCAGCAGCATAAGCACCTGCCTTGCAAGCGCGAAGTCATGAGTTTGATCCCTGGTACTGATTTTTAAAAAAAGAGCCAAGTGCACTTTTAGGAGATGAGGCTTGGTTAGTGAAGCAGGTCACTAACCTGTCCCCAGCCCTGGCTTCCCTCCCAGGTCTTCCTCTGCGCTCCGATACCCAGGTAAGCGACATTCTTCCACTCTGATGTTTCTGACTTGGAGCTGACCATGGACTGAACCCTCTGAGAGCCCTCCAGGAGCCATGCAATTTCTCCTTTTTAAATTGTGGCTGTAGGATGTTTTCTGCCAGCAATGGGAAACAGATCCCATAGAGTCCCATGAAAAGGACCTAAAAGTAATGGTCCCCTGAGAACAGCAGCACATTTAGTGTCTGATCTTGGTTCCCAAACGCCAATCTTCAAGAAAAAGGAACCAAGGCTTCCTCTGAAAAGTTATTGAGTCCAGGACAGAGTGGGAAAGACACAAGAACATGTCAGAAAGTAAGCAAGCGCTCAGAAGGGCGGAGGTAACTTCAAAAAACACAGGAAGACAATCCTCCAACAAAATAAAAAATTATGCTTTTGGATTATAACCCACAGATTAAAATATGTATCTATGAGGTCACACTGATGCAAATAAATAACTAAATAAACAAATCACTGTAGAAGGAAGGAGAGGAACACAAATTGAAATAGAACACCACAGTTAAAATTAGTACAGGCCAGCCAGGAATGGTGGCACACACCTGTAACCTCAGCACTCAGGAGGCAGAGGCAGGAGGATCTCTGGGAGTTCAAGGTGAGTCTGGACCACATAGAAGCAGCCTATCTCAAAAAATCCAGACATTTGTCACAGACCATCTACTAATGGACTAAGGTTAGTGAATAAATATATTAGGGAAAAAAGGATATTTGCAGAGCCTCAAAATATCTTCCTCAATATACCTCTTAATTATAATGGGGATCTGGCCATGGTGGTGCACGCCTGTCATCCCAGCACTCAGAAGCCAGAGGCAGGAGAACTGCTATGAGTTCAAGACCAGCCTGGGCTACACAGTGAGACCGTTTCTCAAAAACCAAAAACAAACAAAAAATTACAATACGGCAAAGGGTAATTTTGTAGGGGAGAAATCTGTCACACAAGCTTGACCTTCGTTCCCTGCTTCTTACCACAGTCTGACACGCCAGCTAGCACAATCACAACTACTGCTTATTTATTGCCTTATCTCTCCCTGTGACAGTGTTGTGTCCACGGGGGTGGAAATCGTGGTCGGCCCCTTTCACTGTGTGTCTCAAATGCTCACCACAGTGCTTGGCACATAGGGAGGGCTTCATAAATGCTTGTTGAAGTGAACAATGTAGACTGACACAAGTAACTATAGCACCGCTGCGTTATATTCCCAGTTAGGAGCGCTGGGGCTGACTTGGCGGTCAGCTGAGATGACCGGGACCTCTGAGCAGCGGACTGTGACTCTAGAACTCTAGCCAGAGAGACCTGCACTCGCTCAGGGCTGCCACTTATGCAGGTCCTCTGTGTGTGCCAGAAAGAAAACCTTCCTCTGGGCAGATACAGCAAGGCACCAACACAAGGATGTGGCCGGTGACCCGTGGCCCAGATCTTGTCTCTCCTCAGCCCTTTAATCAGGTGATGTTGTGGAGTGCACAACCTGTCCAGCTGTACGTAAGGGGCCCCACATCCACACATGGTCTTTGGGTGAGCCTTTACACTCTGCACATCTGTGCTCGGGTCATCTGGCTAAGATCCTGCTCCTGGACGCTGAGCCTCCGTGGGTCATTTTAACTTGGAAAAAAAATACTTTAAGCCATAGTCACTTTTCACTTAAAAGAATTTTAATGGGACACCTTGGGAACGCTGGTTTGCCATGGTGGGACCATCTGCAGAGTCCTCCCAGATTAAAAGGCTGCAAAATAGAGGCCTTTGATGACTGGCTATCTGGTATTCTACAGCAGATGAAAGTTAAGGCAAATCCACTGCAGAAAATGACTTTTACTTTTAAACCATTTGATCCATAGCTGTTCTTTCTGAAAGCAATTAAACAGCAGGGCCAGAATCTTTTTGTAATCTAAGAATTCACTCCCTAATTTATCTGCCGTGCAAGCTCTTATCCTGCTATGTTTGACGAAGCACAGCTATACTTATGTGGAACCCAACATGCGTGTGATGGAAGTGACTTGCGAATCATGTTCCTTTGCCTCTGCTTAAATTTGCCACAAGGACCCTGGGCAGATGTTCCATGGGGACAGCGTGGCCAGCCTGCCAGACCCTGGGAAGACGTGGGATGGAGGAGCAGAGAGTGAGAATTGCAGGAGCCTCTAAAAACAATGCCCTGACTCAACTCGTTGAACACTGGATTCAAAACTGCACAAAGGGCTTGAATACACATTTTTTCCCAAAAAAGATATGCAAATGCCAGTGAGCACATGAAGAGACACACAGCATCTCCAAGCATTTGGGAGATGCGAATCAAGCCCACAGTGAGACTCACCTCACACCTATTGGGAAGGCTATCAAAAAACAGAATAACCAACGTTGGCAAGGGTACAGAGAAGCTGGAATCCTGTGCTCGGTTTGTGGCAATGTAAAATGGTCCGGCCACTGTGGAAAACGCTATGACGGCCCCCAGGAAATTGAAAATAGAATTACCAATAGAATCCACCAGTCCCATTTCTGGGTGTTTGTTATCGTTTAGATCTAGATTGTCCCCCAAAGCCTTGACCGGATCATGGACACTGTTCTCACTGGTGAGTCCCGATGGATGAGTCCATAACTGAATGCGCTGTTAGAGGTGGGGCCAGGTTGGCAGAGGGTCACTGTGGGGGTGACCTGGGAGGGTGCGTTCCTGTCTCTGGTCCTCTGCTCTCTCTGCTTCCTGGCTGCCATGAAATGAACAGCTGTCCTCCACCAGACCCTTCCACTCTGCTGTTTCTGCCCCGGAGTCAGTCTTGGAGCTGAACCCACTGGAGACTGTGAGCCGGCTAAACCTCTCCTCTGTTAAATTGGGGTGTGCAGTATTTTGATCTGGGGGTAGCAAAGTGACTATCACAGTGTCTATCCGAAAGCAGGGTTTGAAGAGACATTGGTACCCCCAGGTTTCTACCATCATTGACACCGGCTAAATCATGGCAGAAACTCCTGTGCCCTTCAACAGATGGACATATAAACAAAGTGTGATCTACCCATATAATGGAACATCAGCCTTCAAAAGAAAGAAAATCAGGACACAGGCTGCAACCTGCACAAACTTTAGGGCAAACATTAAGTGAAATAAATCAGTTACAAGAACACTCACACAAAGCACCCAGGGTAGTCAAAGTCACAGAGACTGAAAAGTAGATTTGAGGTCACGAGGGGTTTGCAGGGCAGGGGAACAGGGACAAATGTGTGCTGCAGGCCATGGGTCTGAGCAATGGGATCCAGGCATTTCTGCAAAATCAACAGACGAGACGGCATGGCAGGGACATTCTCCACACAGAGCCCTACTAAGGTGACAAGCGTGTGGACTGTGCTGGTGGTGGCAGCCAGAGCACCTTCACTGTCCCCGGCTTGTCTTAAAGGGCCACTGTACGAGGCAGCCTGGACTCCATTTACCTCTCCTCTCAGACCCCTGCTCCCCTCTGTGGAATTCCCAGCAAGCACTCACTTCCAGAGGAAGGCTGGATCCGTCACTTGGTCTGGCTCCACCCTTGAAAATAACATTAGACACTGGCTGACAATTTCTTCTCTTTTCAGCCTTTGGGCCAAAGTGCCAGCTGCCCACTCCCAAGAAGCTGCTGAGGATCCTTTAACTGCAGAGGGGAGAGGAGAGCAGGGCTCCTGGCTCACCCTCGGCCTCAGGCTCAGTCGGACAGTAACCCCAGGCAGGAAGCCGCCTCCCCGTGCTCCTCCCTGACCTCTCCTCTGTTGAGGCAGGAATTGCATGCTTTGGTCAAGTTTTTGCTTTCCCAGGTCCCTTTACCATGTCGCAACCAGGAGGTGGCTGTCACCACAGTCCAGTCGTGTCTGTCTGTCGTGCCAGTTCTTCCTCTCTTGGGCAGGAGTCAGAGATTCCTGGCTCTGGTCAGTGATCACCCATCTTGCAAGGCCACCAGCCCAGAATTTCTTTCCCTTTCAATTCTGGGCCTGTTCTGGACATAAGCTGGTCCTTTATTTGTCCCGTGGTGACTGGGTGACATCACTGTGTCCTGAGGGATTTTCTCCATTGTGAGACTGCAGCTGAGCTCTCCCCTTCTCTCACAATGCCACAGTTGGGCAGCACGCGCCAGCGTTTGACTGTTGAAGATGGACCAGTGATGCTTCCTGCAGCAAGAAATCAATAGGATGGAAAACAGGTAGGGAAAGACCCCTGCAGGAAAGGCCCAGTCAGTTGAATTTTTATTGACTCACGTTCAGTGCTCAAAGCTCAGTGCATAGCAAAGGAGGGTAACCCCACAGTCAGAACGTGTTTCCCATTCTGTGCACGAAACCACCATCTGTCATCTCCCTTCCACCAGCACCCCATGAGTATGAACTGCACAGGAGCAGGGGGACAAAGAGAATTCGCTCAACAGGAAGCAGCGGTCCAGTCTACTACATCACTGGTCACTTCAGAGAGGTGATTTTCACACATACAACAAGAAGAGAAGATGATACTGCCCCATCCTTGTATGAGAATGTCGTGGGGCAGGCCGGGCTGTGGGGCTGTACATGGAGCTGAGGGTGTTTGTGTCTGACCTCTACATGCATGATCCGCTAGATGAGCAAGGGGGTATTCATGAGGTAGGGGTACCCTCCTTTTACTGAACCTCACCTGTTGCCTGTGAACAGGCAACACACAGTGAAACTGTGCAAAGAATTCTAAGAATTTTCTGGTTGACTAATAAAGCCATGAATTGCATAATCTAAGCCACCAGAGACAGGTACTGCACCCCACGGAGTAAACTAAAGCATCCAGTAAGAGCTTCTGAAGCACCACATCTCAGGAAAAGGTAGAGGAACCAATCTGGTGGTCCACAGAAGACCAACGCAGATGAGGAAAGGAACGGGAAGTCGATCTCTGGAGAAGCTCCCGGGAGCATTGCAAGTGGAGAAACTGTGGAGTGATCACTTCCTCAACATGATGCCTCTGTGGAACAAAGATTGCGCTATCTCCCTGTTACGATTTGAACTTAAAATGTCCCCCAAAAGTCTCCTGTGTTGGTAAGGTGATCAATGCAAGGATAAGCCAGTCAGTAGCTAAGTGGAGGGGGGCCTGGTTGGAGGTGGGACCCGGGCATAACCTGGAAGAGTGCGTTCTTGTCCCTGGCTCCTCCCTCTGTCTCTGCTTCTTGGCCGCCAAGGGCTGAGCACCTTCCCCTCCACCACACGCTCTGCAATATCACTCTGCAAGGAAGATTCCTGGATTCTTGCTCTGGGTGCTGTGTTGACGTTGTTCAGGGCCGTGCCAGTTTGATAATGGACGCTGATCTTCACACCACTGTCTAAGAAAGTTCTCTAGAGCACAGGACTAATGCACAATTCCTGCGCTCAGTTAACTTACAAACTTTCTGTAAAGTTCATGCTCATGGAAACATATTTGCTGTAAAACTGGCAATCATAAAATCTGTGTGCAAAACAGAAAGATGAATTCCAAAATGCGTGAATAAATAATGCAAATTAGGAGTTTAAGGAAGAAAGCAACTTAGAGAAACTGGGACATTAGGAAAAGAAAGAAAGGGAGAGAGAGAGAGGAGAGAGGGAGGAGAGAGAAAGAGAACACAAAGATGGACAAAGGGTGAATATACATAGCTCTATTATACATAAAAGTGGGAATGTTATGCATTCTTTAAAATTTAGAAAATTCTTTTTGATATTAATTTAAAATTATTTTAGGTAATAAAATTAATAGATTGCTATCTATTCAATATGAAGCTAAATGTTTATTACAATTCCGTAAAAGAATGTATAAATATTGAACAGCTATTTTGAAGAAAACAAGACATTATAATAACTAGTGATGATTTAATATCATCTCGTTTTGAAGCCCCACCAAGCTTTGTTCTCCTGTCTCCATTGGTTTTATCATGTTGCATCTTATTGGATTTTATTATATGTGATAGTATAAACAAAATGTTTTATAGATGAGGAGATAATAAAGAAACCATTGTTCATTTTCTGTTAATTGGTTCTGAATACCCTGTAATACTTTCATTCTCTTGAATGGTTTTACATGTCTTGTTATGTTTGATACTATAGTATATCAAGGTATACTCAAATATTTCAAGGGAAGAGACACTATGGTAACTACTGTTATGTCGGGTTGTCTTGTGGTAAAACACTATTTTGCTTAAATTGTTCTGTTCTGACCTGCGTTGTTCTGTCCTTTTTATCTTAATCTTTTTTTAAATAAAAAAAGAATGTATAAATATGGAACAAAAAGAGGACTAATATAGAAAGGTGGAGCAAAAGAGAGGCTTGTGACAAGCAAAGACAGGATAGAGTATCAAAAGCTGTTCAAGATCAAGTGACTCACATCTGACCACAAAAATGGTAAATGTATTAAATGACAGGAGGGTTAATTACCTCAAATTAGCAATTTCACAATGTGTACATATTTCAAAGCATGTTTTAATCATAAATATGTACAATCTTTTGTGAATTTAAAACAATAATTTCCAAACCCTACCCTCAGAAAAGATCCAAATCATTATGGAGAAAGGGCAGGTAATCTGCAAAGTAAGGCAAGGAGACCTGAAATCTGTGTGAATGTAACAGCCAGTAAGCAGATTGTCTGGCAGGAAAAGAAAAACTGGTTTCAAAAAGTAGTGGGAAAGCAAGAAGAAAGGCCAGGTGGGGGTCAGCGTGGACAGACACTGAGCGGCAGAAACACAGCGTGTGGGCTTCATCCGGTACCATGTGAACACAGGGAACCAGGAAGAAATAGGGGCAGTGTTTCGTAATGCCGTGATCAGTTAGCCCTGGGCAGTACAGGTACTAAGCTGGACTGGAGGGGCCTTGCAGGATGGGCACAGGGGCAGGGGGCCAAGCATGGGGGCTGCAGCCCAAGGCTGAAGTGTGACACTCCACTGAGCCAGGACGGGTGTCCATAGGGAGAAACGGGATAAATCTAAGAATTGATTCCCAGAATGAAAGGTAGTGGACCACTTCAGTGACCACTTTCATTGCAAACCAGAGACACCTTCTTCCAGGCCACTCCTACCCAAGGGGTCAAACTCTCCAACAATTCCTCAGGAAGCCCCTCAAATGCCAGCCCTTCTGCAAAACCTTCCCATGATGGATTCCTCATGTTCTCCAAAGCACACGCTTACCCAACTCCAACAGCCCTGCCACAGTGAATGGATAAAAACAGTGAGGAGTTACCAAAGGCTGTGAAGGTCTCAAGAAAGATCGACGTGGAAAATGGTAACACATGGGGCCATTTCTGAATGAGCTTCCTTCCTGAGCCTCTTCCTCGGGATTATACCAGCAGAAGTTTCCTGGACCCTTGCTCGTAGGAGGTGCTCATTGCCGCCTTAGAAAAGCACTCATTAATGCCAGGCTTGATGCAACCATGCCCACTTATGCACACACTTCGCCTCTGTCTCTGTATACGATGGTACCTACTGTGGCTCTGGACCGTTTCATAGCCAACATCACTGGGAATACTGGGAAACACACAGTACCTAAACAGTGGTTCTATCATGGCGCTGGGGTAGGACGTGGTCTGAGCGTATCCCCCAAAGGTTCACATCCCAAAACTTGGTCCCCCCAAGCTTGGTCCTTGAGACAAAATTAGTATGGTGGGACCTTGAAGAAGAGGGTAATTCAGTCACAAGGCACTGCCCTTTGAAGGGACTAACATCATCTTGCCAGTTGAGTCAGCCTCATGACAGCAGGTTATTATAAGCAAGCCAGACACCTTCTCTGAATCCCTCTGGCTTCCTGTTTCCCCATGCCATATCTTCCACACATGCCCCAGGAGAGACGATCACTGTGCCAAGCAGAAGCCAGCACCATGCTCTTCAGCCTCCAGAAACATGACTCAAATAAGTCTCTTTTCTTTATAAGGCAGTCAGCTTCAGGTATTCTGTTACAGTACACATAACAGACTAACACACATGATAATTCCCCACGTCCTTGGTCAGAAGCAGGAAGGAACTGCAGGGCCACCAGCAGCTTGCAGTGTTCTCCCTGAGAAGTATGCTCAGTCGTGGGTCCTTCCTAGGTGTCTGGATTCTGCAGATACTACGAGGGAGACAACAACTAAACATTTGAGCCATGACAAGGCCATCACTAAGGGCTGGATTTTTGCAGATCATACATTTTTATTTCTTCATAAAAAATTTATGTAAAGGAACCACATATTTTACATGTGTTTTATAAGTACATCCATAAAAATAATCCTGTTTCCTGAAAATGCATAAACACATACAGGTGCATGGAGAGTGATACATATAAAACTTATTAGTAAATCTCATAACTGAGTAGGTTCATAAGCACTGAGCTCTAACAAATTAAATTTAAATATTGAAGTCTTATATTAGCATGCGGTTTTATATTACCGTAAAGGAAAATTTTTGTTTCATGCAAAAAGCGGTGGGCGACTCAGCTCAGTAGGGGTGGGGGGAGGAAGGCAGAAGTCATTTCTCTGCTCCACAGAGCATTTCCTCAGACTCTGCAGGCTGGGAGATAGGGGGATATTTTTTCCGCTGGATCTAGAAGTCATCGCCAAAGGGAGCAGAGCCAGGAGCCAAATGGGACACACACGGCAGAAATCAAGAATGGAGTTCAAATAAGCCCCCCGACTAAAAGGGGCAGGAGCCAGGATGGGCCCTGAGGAGCACAGTTCTGGACCCGAGAGTGGGCAGGGGTTGGTGGGGAGCAGCAGTGGCATAGCCCAGTGCAATGCATGGCACAGCAGAATGTAGCCTGCTACGAGGTGACCTGGAGCAGGCCAGGTGCTAGGCGTGGTGTGACGTGGCCTGGCTCATCACCAGTACCATGAGCTAGCAGTCAAAGGTTCCGAAATAGAGCGCACCACAATGCATTCTCAAAGGGACGCTTGCTGGGGGCTGGACAGCGAGAGACCGACACTAGAGCTAATCAGAAACACCCTGCAGGCCTCGCGGGAGAGACAGAAAAAGAACAGCCCTGGACACATGGGTCGGATGCACA